CCTACGCCGCGCTCCTCCTCGCCGTTATCTGCTTCGCCCTCGGCATCCGCAGCAACACCGGCTTTGCGCTGCCCCGTCGGCGCAGCACAAAGGGCGGCTCGCGCGGCCGCTCCTACGACGGCCGCCGCGTGAAGGACGACTATTCGTAAATGCGACAACAGCACCGGAGGGTTTTTTTTCCTGTACAAAAAGCAAAACGCACACGAATAAACGCCTCGGAAATACACGCAAGTAGTAATGCTAATAAGGACCAGCTTTCAATGGCGTCAGTGTTGTAAGGTATGGATCTAAGAGAGTCGGGGGGGGGGGGGGGGGGTTGAGTTAATGGATGTGGAAAGGGGAGACAGCAAACCAAATCTTTCGAGATATCTTGTGTATGACTGGACTTTTCTTAATGTCCATTATGTATTTGTCATGTGCCATGATTTTCTTTTTCAAACAAATACCCACACTCGTTGGCAGTAGGCAATATGAACTTGACTACATATATGAAGAATTCTCTGTTGTGAAGTTCGCAATCAGTAAGGTCGAGAGACTAGTGTCACATTCAATGAAGTCAACCGAGCATAATGAAATCGCCCATCAGTAGTATGGATGGACCCTGAAAACACTCCCCAAGACCATTTCACTCATCGAGAGGCAAAGAAAAAGGGCCGGTTTAGCACCCATAAATGGTATATTACTATGCATGTATTGCCTTCGTATGCTTGGCCCGAACCATCTTCATATACGTACAGAAAACAGGGAAGAAAAAAAAAGATTTTGCGCACACACAAAAAATAAGCAAAGACTATGAAGAAAGCAAAAGGGAGAAAAACAGAAAAAAAAAACTCCCAAATATCCCTTCCCGCCGTATACACCATATACCTAGCATATCCTCCACCGCCCGGGCCTCCCATATCCCTTCCCTGCCGACCCATCGCCCGTCTCGGTCCAATCTCTCCTCGCCAGGGTACAGATATATATATATATATGCATATATAATATGAGAGAGCGCAGGAAAAAAAGGAACACCGAGCCACAAACAGAAAACTGTAAATCAAGAAAAAGCTCGCGCCGATGATGAGATGATGAGAGAGATGAAGACGAGATGGAGGAGGAAAAAGTAAAAAGCTCGAAGTATCGCCGCTTATAGCTCCCTTTGATGTAAAAAAAAAACAGATGAATAAAATTCTCGTCAAAGAATTTGGACCCGATAGGTGGTGAGCGTGCGGGTGGTTGACTGATTGGATTCGCATGACTTTTTGAGGACGCAAGTGAGTTAGCTCTTCCTTTATAATGCTCTCGCTTTTCCTCCCATCTTCTTCAACACCTTTGCTTCGTATTTGTACAGAGGAAGAGCCGTTCGACCTGTGAATGGTTTGTCTGCCTCATCCACTTTCTCCCCGAATTTCGTTGCTTTCGTTGCTTTTGTCTGATCCATGTTGATAGACCGAACTAACGCAGATACCAGCTCCTGTTGGCAACATGTCATGGCGCCGACTCCTTGCTTTTGTTTAGGCTAGCCCGGGGGTTAGATTGTGCCTGATGCTGCGATCGGAGAATACGGGTCTCTGCCATATTCCTCATGACTCGTTTCGGTGATACGCGGTCCGTTTTGGGTGGGCTTTTCATCGGCCTTGGTGGAGCATAGGACTTCCGAGTGGGCTGACGCTGTCCAGCGGCGCGGCATGGAGCGCCGGCTTGGAAGGGCCGTTCCCGTTCTGCCCTTCAGCGTTCCTCTTCAGCACGGACTTGACCCATTCCGCAACCTCGGCATCTTCGGTGCCCGAGCTGAGATCTATATGGCCCACTGCTTCGGCTACCTTGTCTGCGGCGTCGCCTTCTTCGGCAACTTCGTCAATTGTCTCGGGTTTTGAGAGTGACTGGATCCAGGGATGCTTGAGCAGCAGAGCGTACGTCGGGCGCATCTTGGGAATCTTGTGAAGACATTGCTTGACAAAGTCCTTTGCCAGATCGCTGTAGCCTTCGTCAGGCATGGCCGGGGGCTCGCCTTCAACGATGGCCTGGGAAAACATACAAGTTAGAAAACAGAACATCATCATGCGGGTCAAGGGGGGCAAGCTTACATTCAGCTGGC